TATATATATATATTAAAAAGAGGGTAGTCAAACTTAATACTAAGCTAAGTGGTGTACTGACAAAAATAAAGTCACTTGGTATTTTAGGATAAAATCTAAAAATACTTAGACAAAATCTCATAAGAATTAGGTCAAATCAGATTTGATCAAATTTAATCTAAAGGTATAAATCAATTAAGATTGACTCCTATGTTCATTGTAAATAGATTCCAAAACTTTACTAAATAAATATATCATGTAAGTAATTTACCTAATGAAAATTAAAAACCAAATTTGTAACGTGAAACTAAAAGAGAAAATAAAATAAATGCCCGTAATACAAAAAATAATTATAAGAAAATTCAATAGATTTGAAACATTATAAAAGAACTTATGTATTATATTTTAGACTAATTCAAAGTTATATTTTAAAATAAAATATGATATTATTTTGAGTATATGTAAAACGCTAATTAAAATTTCTTAGTAGGGAAAGAGAATGTATAAAGAGGAAATAGAGATAGAGCAAGGATACTTATATTTTTATATTTATTTAAAAATAAATAGAGTAAATTATTAAATAATACTCAAAATAATTATTAATAGATTTAAATGTTGAAAGAGATCCGAATAAGAGGATAATAGTATAAAAATATATTAAATTTCAAGAATAAAAAATTTATACATTTATTGATGATTATTAAAAGGGTAATAAACAAAACATTAAGTCAATTTATAAGCTAATAAAAGATCGCATTACAGTGTAACAATACTAAGTAATAAATAATGCAAAAACTATAAGCAAGGAACAAAAAAGAGAAAAAAATTCTTTCTAAAAATGTTAAAGAATAAGACTTATTTGAATTTGAGATGAAAAATAAAGTGACAGTAAGAATGTTGTTAAAATAATATAATTTAATGTGCTCAAACAAGACATATCACAACGTTACATGTTTAGTATTTTTTAATATTGAAATATAATATAGCTGTCAAAATCAAGGGGTTTGGTTATTACGAATATAGAAAAAGGAAATAGGTTATCCACTATGAGATTTGAAAAATGATTCCATGTCCGGCTTCTTAATTAAAATCAAATAATTATTTATAATTTCTATATAGAAGATTTAATTTTAAGGTTATTTGCACCTAATCCAAATTACCCAAATTATAATTTAACATGATTTATGTACACACATCATGCGGGTACTAATACTAGTTAACTTTAAGAGTAATTCTCTATCTTATATCACACAAGTATTATTTATAGTGTCAAACTGTCAATTAACTATTTTTAACTACTTTTTTCAATTAAAAACAAAAGATCGAGAAAGGACTTGTTTAGAATCACTCTTTTAGCCCATTTACCCCAATCTTTGACAGGTCAAACATTGATAGTCTTAAGTGAATCTAACAATCAAACTTGTAAAATTTGACTTCATAATTACTTTTAATGAATTTATATTACATTCAAGCCAATTAGCAAAATTCTGTGGGCAATTTTTGCTGAATATAATGGTCAATATATGCGACTCTTGATTACAGAATTATGTATCCACACCACATTCAAGATGTAAAGATTGCATAAGAAACAGCAAGATTGGATCAATATGTATATCTCGAAGCCCAAACGGGGAAAAGGAAGAATAAAATACAGAATTTGCCGGTCGGCCGAAACTAATTACACATATGTAAATTGTGAAATTGCACATTTGCTAGCCAAAAAGTATATAAAATATGCATATTATATATGCATTTAGTCAAGTATTATTTTGTGTAGCGACTAAAAATATACGTTTCTCTTAAAGGAATCATGTCCCACTTCAAACTTTCAAAACAATGATTAGCAACAAAAAGAAAACACTTCCAAGACAATGAATTTAAGAAAATGAAAAACAAACCTTAAAGTGTTCAACAATATTAATGTCAAATTAACTTTTCAACGAACTTTGCATGCCAAATTTTAAAATTATACATCAATCTTTTGAGAGATTGTGTCTCGTACGGTTAAGTGCACAATGGGTCACTATGAAAGTGGGCGTTTCAATTCCTTGGCCTTGTCCCTGAGTATAAATTTCTGAATTTTCCCTGAAGAATTGAGTGGTAAATCACCAAAGATTACTGCCTTTGGAACCATGTAATCCTGTAGCCAGTCTTTACAAAACTTGATAATTTCTTCTTCAGTCATAAAACACCCCTCTTTCAACTTCACAAAAGCACAAGGGGTCTCTCCTACGACATCATCAGGTAGTGCTACAACTGCAGCCTCCAAAACCATAGGATGCCTAATCAAAACAGCTTCAATTTCAAGAGTGCTTATAATTTTCCCCCCAGATTTGATTATGTCAACGATGCGATCCTTCAGTTTTATATACCCATCTGGGAATTTAATTCCAAGATCTTTAGTCCTATACCACCCTCCCTCAAATGCTTCTTCAGTTTTTGAAGTATCTTTCAAATACCCTAACATCATAGCATTGCCTCTAAACATGATTTCCCCTGTAGTTTTCCCATCTGCTGGCACACTTTTCATACTCTCTGGATCTTTTACATCAACTTCTTCCATCATAATGCTGTGAATCCCTTCACGAATTTTCACGTTCACATCTTCATTCAACTTGGAAAATTCATCTTGATATGTCCTAGACATTGATATCATTGGACCAAGTGCTTCACTCATACCATATGCATGGTTAATAATAAAGCCTAATTCTTCCAGTTTGGTCAGAATTTCTAGTGGTGGCAATACCCCTGCTACTGTTACATTCACCTGGTGAGGTAACAAGGGCTGATTTGTGGCTATGGCATCTGAAATTTTTGTAAGAATCATTGGTGCTCCACAAAAATGTGTCACATTGTGAAGGTAAATAGCATCCAAAATTTCTTTCCCATTGATTTCGCCAAGGCAAATATTAGTGCCGCCCAAAGCAGCTACGGTCCAGGGGAGACACCATCCGTTACATCGGAACATGTCCACTGTCCAGAGAAAAACAGGCATTTTTTGCATCTCATATCTGAAAATATCAGCAATTGCATTCAAATATGCAGCTCTGTGGCTATACACTACTCCTTTAGGCTTCCCTGTTGATCCAGAAGTAAAACTTACGGAAATCGGATCAAATTCATTTTTCGGGTACACAATCTTGAAATTGGACTGCCCCATTTCTAGAAGGGTATAGTAATCCAGAATATTCGCTGGTGCTGATAATACTGGTAGTTCTTTTACTTTGCTTTCATTGATTATGACTACAAGATATGGCTTGTCTTTTTCTTCAAGAATGTTAAGTGCATGAAGCACAATCTCAATGAAGTCAAAGTATACAAAAATGACTTTGGCCTCTAATTGTTGAAGTAGTTGTGCTAAAGTGGCAGCGTCTAGCCTTGGGTTAAGTGCAGAAAGGACTGCCCCAGCCATTGGTACAGAAAAATGCAGCTCGTAGAGTGCTGGAACATTAGGTGCCACTGCTGCCACCTGTTTATATTAGAATTAATAAGCTTATAAATTAAGCTTATTGTAATTGGTTAACTATGACAAAATAAGCTACAAATTAAATTATAAATGCCATGCAAAGAAGTGAAAGAAAAAAGGAAGAGAAAGGGAAAGAGTGTTTGAACTCGGTATGATCATAGCTCATACACTAGATAGAGAAGTTGGGTTCGGAATGCCACTGAGTCTGGTGGGAAAATAAATATATCCCGCCCAGGAATAATATCCACGACAAATAATAATAACACAAGAGAGTAACAATAACATCAAATCTTTTAACGGGGTAAAATACAATACTCGAGCTGAGTAATATTACCACGATAATATTACAACTTAGTAGTATCAACAAACTACTATAACTTCGAAAGAAATAACACTCTTTATTTTAAATATCTCACTACAATATTACTCACACTCACTATTTATCTCACAGACTACAATCCGTGGATTACTCTCTCTAACTTCTATTGCTTCTCTCTTATTTTATGATGACCCGATAGGTCATCTTACGTTTTAGAACCTAATTCCGCGCTATGAAGCTTTATATACCTCATTCTAGCCTTTCTTGATTTGCGTGCACAGTCCGGGTATTTTTCTGGAAAGCTTTTATGTTAAAAACTGAGAAAATATGAATTTTTTCCCTTAAAATTTATTTGAGTTGACTTCGGTCAACATTTTGAGCAAACGGACCCGGATTCGTGTTTTGACGGTCCCGATGAGTCCGTATCGTGATTTGGCTCGTGGGTGTATGCCCGCAATCGAATTCGGAAGTCCCTAACCGAGTTATCGTGCTTTGTTGAAATTTGAAAGTTAAAAGGCTTAATGATTTTGGAATGTTTGACCAATGTTTGACTTTCTAGATATCGGGTCCGTATTTTGGTTCCGGAATCGGTATAGGTCCAACACTATATTTATGACTTGTCTGTCAAATTTGGTGAGAAGCGGAGTTGGTTTGACATAATACGGACGTACTGTTGTGAAATTAGAAGTTCATGAGTTTTCTTGAAAATTTCCTTGATTTGATGCTAAATTCATAGCTCTAGGTGTTATTTTGGCGATTTGTTCTCGCGAGCAAGTTTGTATGATTTTTTAGACTTGTGTGCATAATTGGTTTAGATCCCCGAGGGCTCGGGTGAGTTTCGGATAGGCAACGGAGTGGAATTTGACTTAGAACATTGCTGGTGTGCTTCAGATTTTGGTGCAGGCCTCAGACCTTGCAATTGCGAGGTCAGGCTTCGCATTTGCGACCTCTGATGGGTTCGCATTTGCGAGCAACTCATCGCATTTGCGAAGAGTAGCTGGGGCACCTCAAGTTCGCATTTGCGAACAAAACTTCGCATTTACAAAGTGGGACAGGGGGTACAGTGATCGCAATTGCGATCAAACGGTCGCATTTGCGGAAAGTCAAAGTTCGCATTTGTGAACAAATCATCGCAAATGCAATGACAACAGGAATGGAAGGGACTTCGTATTTGCGAATGTTTCTTCGCATTTGTGGGGCTCGCATTTGCGAACCCTGAGTCGCAAATGCGTTATCTGCAACTGACCAAATAGCTGAGAAAACGGGATTTTGTTCATTCTCGCAAACTTTCAAACTTAGAAACCCTAGAGGCGATTTTTCAAAGAACTCTTCTTCCCCAAATCATTGGTAAGTAATTCTAAACTAGTTTCTTTCAATCTTTCATTGCATTTCCTAAGATGTCAACCTAAAATCTTGTGTTTTCATGGTGAAAAATTGGGGGTTTGGGTAGAATTAAGGATTTTTGTAAAATGAGGATTTAGACCTCGAATTGAGGTCGGATTCCAAAACAAATTACATAACCGGACTCAGAGGTGAATAGATAATCGGGTTTTGGTCCGAATTTCGGGTTTGGACCAAGCGAGCCTAGGAGTTGACTTTTGTTGACTTTTTCAATAATGACCTAAATTGAATTCTTTGCAATTGTGGGTAGATCCTAAGGCTTAATTTGAGTCGTTTGGTTGGTAATTTGCTAGATTCTATTGGTTCGGAGGCTTGTTTGAAAGGCAAAGCTGTGATTGAGCTTTGAGTGGACCTTCGGAGCGAGGTAAGTGTCGTAGTTAACCTTGACTTAAGGGATTAGGACTTGTTTGTCTATTTGCTACATGTTTAGATATTGGGTACAATGTATATGTGAGATGACGAGTACTTATGTGTTGTTGTCGGGTTAAAGCATGCGGGTGGGGACTTGTTCCTTGTAGTTTATTGCTTACTTGATCTTGTTATCCATGCTTAGACTAGTTACTTACTAAATTGATCGTTCTTATTGTGTTTACGAGCTTTTGTGATAATTGAGTATTGATTCCAAAGTTGAGATTGATATTGTAGATCTATTGTTGAAGTAAGACTTTTCTTGTTGATTCTATCTCCCTGCTATTACTTGTTCATTGTTATGTGGTAAGGAAGAGTGTTAATGCACGAAGGGTGATGTCGTGCCATATTATGAGTGTTAATGCACGAAGGATGGTGCCGTGGCATATTGTGAGTGTTAATGCATGAATGGTGATGTTGTGCCATGTTATGAGAGGTAATGCACGAAGGGTGATGTCGTGCCGTATCTATTGATTCATATTGTGAGGTTGAGAATAAAAGCACGAAGGGTGATGTCGTGCCGTATCTATTGATTCATATTGTGAGGTTGAGAATAAAAGCACGAAGGGTGATGCCATGCAATTTTCTTCTTTGTGTTTAGTTGTTTTCACTGGTTAAAAGCATGTTGACTGTTCTGGTTATCATTTCCACTATATCTCTTATATCTTGTGCCCCTTTAGCATGTACCCCTCCCAATAGTATATGTTTAGCTGTTATTGTTATTTTCTTGTACATATACTGTTCTCTGCACAGGTTTATTATGTAGGTATCTTGTCATAGCCTCGTCACTACTTCATCGAGGTTAGGCTCGACACTTACGAGTACATGGGGTCAGTTGTACTCATACTACACTCTGTACTTCTTGTGCAGATTTTGGTACCGGCCCTAGCTGATCGTGAAACTCGGCAGTCCGGACTTGCTTATCGAAGACTCAAGGTAGATCTTCTGGCGTCCGCAGACCTTGGAGTCCCTTTCTAGTTTTCTTATTTTACTGTTTCTTTCTATTCAGAACAGTTGTATTTCGTTCAGACTATGTTTGTAGCAAATCTTAAAAGCTCATGAGTTGCGACTCCAGATCCGAATTGTTTCAGATATTATGGGCTTTATGTTATTCCGCATTTCAGTTTTAGCTTCTATTTAGTAAAATTGATTCTATTATTGAAATTGACTAAAATTGGTTTAAAGAATCCTCTAACACTGGCTTGCCTAGCAAGTGAAATGTTAGGTGCCATCACAGTCCTGAAGGTGGGAATTCAGGGTTGTGACATTTTTGGTCTGCTTACAATGAGGAGAAAGCATCTCTATTTATAGTCTCGTTGCTCACCAAAACCAATTAAAATTGGTTCGGCGCCTACTTTGCAGATTTGCAAGATTGAAAAGTTGGTCTTGCTCCACCGCTTAAGCAGCAAATCAAACCAATTTGATTTTTGCTTCCTTTTTAAATTTCTTTTTATTAAAATGGGTCCCACAAATTGCATTCCTTTTGGTTTTGCTTTTGCTTTTGCTTTTGCTTTTGCTTTTGCTTTTGCTTTTCCTTTTCTAAATCATTTTCTCTTTCTTTTCTTTATTCCTTTTTTATTTAAATAGGTTCCACAAATTTCTCCCTTAATTTTGATTTTTCTTCTTCATTCCAAGATTTGATCTCAATCTCTAGAAATCTTCAAATTTGAGAGGATTTGTGAAAATATCTACAACTTGATCATGAGACTTCACATATTTGAGCTCGACTTTCTTCTTGGCAATGCATTCTCTAATGAAGTGATATCTTGTATCTATATGCTTGCTTCGATCATGATACACCGGATTCTTGACATGTGCATGTGCGAATTTGTTGTCAATACAAATCTTCGTAGCTTCAATTTGTGGCAAATTGAGCTCCTTTAATAATCTTCTCAGCCAAATAGCATAACAGGTACATGACGTTGCTGCTACATATTCGGCTCCACAAGTCGAGAGAGTAACAATGGACTGTTTCTTTGAACTCCAGGAAATAACACAATTACCCAAAAAAATACAAAACTAGTTGTGCTTTTTCTATCATCAATATCTCCCGCATAATCACTATCACAATATCCCATAAGGTTGAAATCATTAGAAGAAGAATAAAAACAGGTGCATAAACTTCTTCATAGTCAATGCCTTGCCTTTGCTTGTAGCCTTTAGCCACAAGTCGTGCCTTGTATCTCTCCACATCTCCATCAGCATTTTTCTTTGTCTTGTATACCCATTTTACTCTAATTGCACGATGACCCTTGGGAAGAGTTGTTAACTCCCAAGTGTCATTTTCTCTATTGAATCGATCTCCTCCTTCATGGCTTGTCTCCACCTTTTTGTCTGTAACAGCTTCATCAAGGTTCATCGGTTCACTGTCAGCAAAGAGACAATATAAAAAATTAAAATTAGTAACTTCTTATGTGTCCTCATAGATCTCTTGAATACTCCTTGTCCTTTGCGGCTGTTCATTTAAACTTTCTTGTGAGGGAGATGCAAAATTGGTTGGAGAACGAGGTGGAGTTGTATCCTGCACAGGTTTCACAGTCTATGGTTCTTCTTCATCACCAAAGTATGGAAGAAAATCATATGAAGTTTCTTCCTGAGCTTCCCAATTCCATGCCAATTCTTCATGAAATTCAACATCACGACTTACCACCACCTTGCCGCTACTTGGGTTATATAGCTTGTAGCCTTTTGAACTCATATCATAGCCAATAAACACATGCTTGACAATTCTATCCTCATGCTTCTCTCTCTCTTGATGTGGCACATGAGCATAGGCTATGCTCCCAAAGATTCTCGACACTTGGCTTTCTTCCACTCCATGCTTCTTGAGGGGTTTGATCTCTAACATTCCTAGTTGGAGACCTATTGTTCAAAT